GAGTGTCCCACAAGAGTGTCCTACAAGAGTGTCCCACAAGAGTGTCCCACAAGAGTGTCCTACAAGAGTGTCCCACAAGAGTGTCCCACAAGAGTGTCCTACAAGAGTGTCATTTGGACATATGTAGTTTTTTCGAACGTGCTTGCATTCGGGTTCGTGGGTTCCATCTTGTTATAGAGAGCTGGTTTGCAATGCAACACTGCAGGAGGTTGATATGTGATTATTAGTCGGGCTAGTTTATCGTTTTGTCAATATAGAATCGATTCTCAAGGTTCACTGGTAATTAATTCCACAGGGGATACTATACAACAAGCATCTAATTGGGGGTCCTGCTCATTTTGCTATGCATCATTTGGGGTGTTGGCTTGGACATGAACTAATTACGTACCTTTTCCTTGCTCTCTCTCTCCCCCTCCCACTCTGCAAACGACGCGGGCGGCTGTTGCCGTGAAGCGACCTGAAAAAAGACCGACAAGGAAGGAAGGAAAGAAATACATACACTTAAACAAAAGAGAAAGAATCGAAAGAATGAAAAAGACAGAACGACAAAACAAGAAAGAAAGAAAGGCAGACAGCAGGGAGGGAGGGACGGAGGGGGGAGGGAAGGACGGAGGGAGGGAGCGCGCTTGGCCCTTTCTAATCCGAGGCGCTGACAGGGACAACTACTATTTCGGAAACTTAACTGCAAGTTGCGAGCAGGTTAGCTTCACACGAGGCATCAAGAGGCTGCGCTAATGATGACTGCCACTGTCCTGACATGCCACCAAGGATGCGATGCCCTTTTTGAGCGCCACCCTGACATTCTACAGGAATGCTGTGACAAGCTCAGGGGGCTGCACAAGACACGTTTTCAGTGTCAAAACGATGAGATATGTGGCATGAGACATTCACCTTGACAAGGTGCTGTCAGAGGCCAGAAGCTGCTCCCCACTCTTTTTGATGGTTGCTCGCATGCAATAGGCAGCTGGAAGGTGGCTGGTCAGTGCCGAAGTCAAGAGAATTGGAAAGTGACTGTGCATTGAATGTTCTTCCTTGCTTATCATCAGTTGGCAGATGATTGAAGTGCATATCAAGCGCCTCAGGATTGATTTGGAGATCGAGATCGTCAGTGAAGAAGCTGCTGCTTGACTGAAACTTTCCCATGCTTGGCGGGGTCAGCGCTCTTCCGCGCTTGAAGAAGCTTCGTTTGAGCATTTTATATAGTCGGGCAAGTTTGGCATGTTAATATAGTTGGTCTGATACGTGTGACGGAGATCAGCCTTTGCAGGACCCCTTTGTGGTCCGGTTTGATGTTGCAATGATGCTTGTTGATTCCATCAGAGAGATCATGAGCAGAGAGTGTTTGTTCAAGCGAGTCCCAGGCGCAGAGTGAACTTTTTTGTGAAGCACCTGATTCAGAACAGCGACAACACATTCAACACCTATCTCCCTGCGATTGTAAAGTTGAATGCTGCTTGGCTGCCCACAAGGATTGATGAATAAGCCACAATATGGGCTGAAGGCTGATGGAGCCCGTCTTAGAGCTGCAAACACTGGGTTCAAAGGGACATTGCAAATTGTATATAACAATAATATAAATATTAACATAAATATACAATATGTGACGTGCGTGTGTGTGTGTGTGAAACCCTTGGAATCACAGGGAACCTTTCGGTTTGCAAAAGCAGGGCGCGGTGGGTATTTCTTGAAGTCACCGCTCAACGAAGATACTTCAAGATTGCTGTGATATGCAATCTGCACGCAGATTGCATGTACCTGCGAGAGGATGATGACCTCCTTGGTCCCATACATTACTAGAACAAGAATCTTGGCCAGTGCGTCGGTTTTGCATCTGCAGACAAGTGCTGGTCGATCGCTCGTCTTCACGAACTTGGAGCTTTCTTTTGATGACTTGGAGCTTTCAGGGCTAGCCCGGCCGCCTTACATACGACCTGCTTTTACCCAGGCATCTTTTCACTTAGGCTTCTTCAGGGGCTTGAAGTGATCAGTTCCGTGCGCATTTTCCCGAGTGCGTCCTGTCCATTTGCTTGTTTGTTTGTTTGTTTGTAGGTATTCGTTGCTTAGTTTGTAGGTAGTCTGTAGGTAATAAGTCCTGTTTGCATGTATGGATGTATGGATACACGCGGCCAGAATGCAGAGTGTAGCATGCATACAACGCATCTCCTTTCAGGCCCTGGGCCCAGGATGGCCCAGGCTACCCCAAAGACCCAAGGAGACCCCAAAACACAATCGTTTCCAAGCTAACCAGTTATGTGCCGTCGCACAGTGAGAGCACCCGTTGATTGGTCCGCCATATGCTAATGCCGTTGATGTTTTGAAATGTTTCGCGCCACACCGAGCATCCCCCGATCTTCCCCCCTTGGTTCGCTCCGTGGGCGCTTACTGTCGGGGACTCGGCATACCTTTGGCACAGTTGGTTCCGGGAGTAGGCAGCCCACACCGCAATTGGGCCCCTTTCATATCCTTTTCATCATATGTGTTCAAGAAGATTGTGCTTTTCTATTGTGTATGCAAACGCATCATGAACGAAAATGACAAACATATCATTCTCATGTCGGAAGCACAACTGAATCCAGCGCGTTGCTGCATTTGAATATTTTGGCGTATTTTCGTTGGTGGGAACTGTCTTTGGACAATTTTTTGGAACCCAGCCACTGCATGAAAACTTAGGACCCCAAGTTGATTGGCCATCCGGTTGTCAGCTTCGTTTTCAATTTGCTATGGACACACCTTGCACGATATTACTTCCTGCGAAGCAGGCAGGAGTGAGCAATGGATGTGTTTGACACAGAAAGTTGATGATAACGCTCTATTCAGCCGCTATTCTCTAGTTTGTGAGATGCTTTGAACACCAGGCTTTTGTTTCTATTTCTGGTGCTTATGGCGGTCACGTCACAAAGCATTCTGCCTCGAATCAACCCACGAGCTGAATCAGATTCACAAAGAATTGCATTGTTTATTTGTGCCCTGGCCTGAACTGTAGGGACATGATGGGACATGGGCCAGCTTTGCAATCCCTTCCAGACAAGAAGCAGACACACTGATGGTGATCAAGGTCTGTTTGGTCAGTGGTGATCCAAGGTCGCGTGGTTTTGTACTTCGTGGATTTGCTACCGCAACTTCTGGAACATGTTCGGCTCACAGTGCGGGATTGTAAACAACGCTCCCTCTTCTACGTGGGTGGATTTGTACCGGCGCCCGCATACTTGAACAATCTGCCGCGCGTTGGCCAATTGGCACTGATCTTTTGCATGCTGTCTCTTGGGCTGAAGATCGAAGTCAGCGGCGCCGAATTCAACTTTGGGTATTCACACACTGACTGCATCATCGATCGAACTCAGGCTGATGTTTATTCAAGAGCCAATTTTGGCATGTTTCAGCAACATGCTGCTCGGCCAGCTTGTTGTTGTGATTTGATTGCTTTCTTTGCCCGCCAGCAGGTTCAACAAAATTGTACCATTATACTTATTATAATTATGTATACTAATATTTTTAGAGCAGCAACACTAACGAGTTAACGTTGTCCATCAGTAAGCTGGCTTGGGGATTCCAGCATGAATAGGAATGGCCTCCAACCTAAGAGTGATTGGGATCCCAGATTTGGAAGGAGGATGACCCAAATTGTGCGCCAATCAAGCTCGTTGCTGTTGGACAATCATCGGCCGTATCCTTTTTGAGCCGTGATCCAGTGAATCTATATCCTTCAATAGGGGTCGAATGCCAGAACTGAGATTTACCAAAGTTGAAGTTGTTAGACCTTCTTGCACCTGCCTGCACAATGGACTTGAGAATTTCAGGTGTGGTAGAGCCAAAAGTACAGTAAGTAGAAGATAGTATGTCATGAACACTAACTAACTAAGAGTAGCCCCAGATAGTTTAGGAGAGAAGCAAGTGTTTTTCTTCGTTCTGGGCCTTATAACATCTAAGAATCTGCGTGGATCAGCCACGGTTGAATTAGGAACTCCATTTTGCGTGGCTAGTGTGGGATGGTCAATTATCCATCACTTGCATATTTACTTTTTACAACAACGGCCTTTGGAGGAAATTCGACCTTATCAGGCGACACGTCTTATAAGGGGAAAGGGTGTCACTTGGGAAGCTTTCTAACCTATCACGAAAGCTAGCCTTAGCTAGCTGGAGTTGCTCTTGCTTTAGCAAGTTAAGTGACGGGGTGGACGCACCTCAGAAACCTCAAATAATTGATTAAATCAATCTTATGGACCCCCCCCCCCCCC